GCGTCTCGCATGGCCAGGACTCGATCCCTTATTGCTCTCCCTTTCTCCGATCGCATCAGCTCATTGACTCGCTACTCCAGCTCATCCGCTGAGATGAGCCCATTCAACCTCTGCTCCGCGTAGAGCGGCCAGGCCAGCATGGGAAAGCCTCGGCACACCGCCTCAAGCACCGAGTTCCACCCGCAGTGCGTCACGAACCCGCCCACCGAGCTGTGGCTCAGTACCTCCACCTGCGGGGCCCACGACTCTGCTATCATCTCCCTCCCTCTTGTCCTATCCACAAACCCCTCGGGCGGGAACGACACGACGCCCGGCTCGACCTCGGCTAACACCTACCGAGCCTCATCGTGAGGCGGCGGGACCCGCACCACCCACAAGAACCGCACTTTGCTCCTTTCCAACCCTATTGCCATTTCCTTCAGCTGCCTCGTCGAGAACACTCCCATGCTCCCAAAGCTCAGAAACAGTACGCTCCGGCTCGGCTGCGAATCGAGCCAACTCAAGCACTCGTGCCTCTCTTCGCCACCTTTGGTTCCTCCGCCGGTAGCCACTTGTTAGCGATATTAGGATATCTATTTGATTCTGCATATCTCTCGGGATTATGCATATATCTCTTTCGATATTGCATATCCTTGATTGATTTAGATTTGATACAATATTTATCTTGTTTCCTTAATTATTTATCTAATAAGCTTATAAATAGGTTCTCCATGTACTCTTTTATATATTATCAAAAATACAAAAATCATTCTTCTGCTTTACTTTTAACTTGGTATCAAAGCCACCGTTCCTAAGGCAACTTAGTGCACCGGGTGCACTTCGCACCCGGTGCGCACCTCACACACCCCAGAAATTTACCCAATCCTATTTTTCCGCTTTATCATCCTTAGCGCAAAATAAATCCATCTCCGCTCAACAGTGTACATCTGGGTATCTTATTTCCGTATGAGTAAGCACCGCGGTGGTCGTGTTTCGACAATCGCACTGACCCCATCGCCCGTCGAGACTTTTTCATGGAGGTGGCTTTCTTTCAATGCCAGCCACAAAGGCCGCATCCCAGTAACTATTTTTCAAGCCAGCCATATAGGCCGCTTGATGCTACGATAAAGGCCGCGTCACTTAGTTACTGTTTCGCAAGCTAGCCCATTGGCCGTTTGCTATTCCCCTCCGATTCTCGACCTTTCGCGCGTCATTTCAAGAAGCCGACACCACCACCAGACTTGCAACTGTCAGACGATCAACAAATTGAAATCTCATCGTTAATGAAAGCCTGGAGCCAGCACACGCACCCTACGCGCAGCTACGCCACGCATCCTCCATGGGTCCAGATTATTTTTTAAACTCAAGTTGATTTGTTCCAATTCACTTGCATTTGAGGAAGATGTTAGCGATATTAGGATATCTATTTGATTCTGCATATCTCTCGGGCCTTGATTGATTTAGATTTGATATTATGTTTATCTTGTTTCCTTAATTTTTTATCTAATCAGCCTATAAATAAGCTCTCCATATACTCTTTTATATATTATCGAATATACAAAAATCCTTCATTTGCTTTACTTTTAACTCCATCAGTGGCCTGACACAGTATGTCGGAGGAGTGGCGCTGTCCGGCACGCAGAGGCCGTCCCTCAGAGCCTTGAGAGCGCTGGCTTCAAATGAGTCGAACGTGTTGACGATGAGACCGGCCGAGTTAGCCATCTGAACCGCCGTGTCCAAGAAAAAGTTATAGACCTTGAGGCTTCGATTGCTGATGGCCATGGGCATGTCTCGGGGCGAGACTGGAGGGAAGCCAGGCATCAGAATGGGCACGTCTAGGTCTGTGAAGCTCTCGGGGTACATCTTGTGAAGAGCGGGAACGTACAGGAACGAGGCCAACGCGCTCGCGCCGGAGGTGAAGTAGTAGTAGGTGGGGATGTTGAGGAAGGTGGAGACGCCGAAGGCGGCGTTGCAGAAGAAGTCGATGACGAAGGCTTTGACGGCGGAGGACATGGAGAGAGAGACGAGGGTCTGGTGGAGCGTCGGGTTGTGGAGGCGGACGATTTCGAAGGTGGAGAGGATGAAGTTGGCGGGAGAGGAGGAGAGGTGGTCGGAGTTGGGAGGGAGATGGCGGGGAGATGGTGGAAGGTGATTGAAGGGTGGGATGCGGAGACGGCGGCGACGAAGTGGGTGTTCGGAGGTGGGGTGGAGAGGAGGAGGACGGTGACGGAGAAGGAAGGGTGGTGGTTGAGGATGTGCTTCCCGAGCTCCACCATGGAGGCGAGGTGGCCTCTCCCTGGTGAAGGGTATTAGATAGTCAAATGTCTAAGGTTTCGATTAAGAGAGAAGAAAGTGCCCTCTTCAGTGATAAGAGAGGGTTCAAGGGTCAGAGGCGAACCGGTGCTGACAATAAAGATGGCAAGTCGAGGAAAAGCCATGTCGAATGGCAAAAGCAACCAGCTCGTGAAGAATGGCAAAAGCGTCCAGGAGAGACGAGTCTTCGACTAGGGGGAGCCTGGCGGGGCGATGGCAAAAGACGTAGTGGATGATGTTACGTCTGCAGCAAGGAGGGCCACTTTGCCAGAGATTGTCGAGCGAAGAAAGTTGAAGGAAATGTCGCAGCATTATCGAAGAAGACTGATTTCGATGAAGATAAGGAACGGGATTTCCAAACGTCTGTTGCAATGGTGGTATCAGACGAGCTCGCTGCCTCTTCCACAGTCAAGTCAAACGATGCGATGGCATTAATCTCTGTAAGTGAAAAGTCGATTAATTATGATTTCGACTGGATTGTTGATTCAGGGTGTTCGAGTCATATGACTGGAGATCAAGGCAAGCTGTCGAACATGCGTGAATATACCGGAGGACGTGTTGTTATTACTGCAGACGGCTCGAGGTTGCCGATTACTCATATCGACAAGACGATGATAACTCCTCGATTCCATTCACAGCTAGTTGAATTGAAAAGTGTGTATCACGTGCCAGGAATGAAGAAGAATTTATTGTCTGTGTCCCAGCTCACAGACTCGGGTAATTATGTGGTGTTCGGTCCACGAGATGTTAAGGTGTACCGAAGTGTGAAGCCCACTGGTCGACCAATCATGGAGGGACGTCGGCTGGAGTCCGTTTACGTGATGTCTGCTCAAACGGCATATGTAAACAAAACCCGAAGGAATGATACACCTGATTTATGGCATGCGCGGCTTAGGCATGTAAGTTATCACAAGTTGAAGGTGATGATGCAGAAGAACATGCTGAGGGGTCTTCCCCAGTTGGAAGTGCAAGAAGATGTGGTTTGTGCCGGGTGCCAGTATGGGAAGGCACATCAACTTCCGTATGAGGAATCATCGTTCAAAACTCGGATGCCTCTCGAGCTCGTTCACTCGGATGTGTTTGGTCCAGTGAAGCAGCCGTCTGTTAGCGGATTCAAGTATATGATCACTTTCATCGACGACTTCTCCAGGTATGTCTGGGTTGTTTTCATGAGGAAAAAATCCGAGGCGTTTATTAAATTTAAGGTGTTTAAGGAGAAGGTTGAAAGTGAAGTAGGCAGAAAAATTCGTTGCCTACGCACCGATAACGGGGGAGAATACACTTCCTACGAGTTCACGAAATATTTGCAAGAGTGCAAGATACGTCGACAGTATACTTGTCCGTATACACCGCAGCAGAACGGTGTTGCCGAAAGAAAGAATCGGCATCTAGCTGAGACATGCAGGAGCATGTTGCACGCGAAGAATGTTCCACCGAGGTTTTGGGCCGAATGTATGAAGACAACGGCTCACATGATTAACAGGCTGCCACAAGCAAGGTTTGGTTTTATGTCACCATACGAGAAGCTATGGAATCGCAAGCCTGTGGTAAGTCACTTTAGAGTTTTCGAGTGCGTATGTTATGCATTTGTGCCTGATCATCTTTGCAGCAAATTCGACAAGAAGGCGATTCGCTGCATATTCGTGGGATATGATGATCAACGAAATGGGTGGAAGTGCTGCGACCCTACAACAGGGAGGTGCTATACTTCAAGGAATGTGGTGTTCGATGAATTGTCGTCTTGGTGGTCACCTCAAGCTGTCGAATTGCCAAATTCACAGCATTTCGACGAAGAGGTCGAAGAAAGGCCGAAAGAATTCGACGAGAATCAGCCTATTGAAAAAGATGTCGAAAAAGATGTCGACACACAGTCACCAGGATCAACAAGTTCATTTGATGAGCGTCCAAGGTCGACAGAAGAACTTCGACCAAGTCAGGTCGAAGAACTTGAAGAGGAGGAGCCTCAACTTCGGAGATCGACGAGGCAAAGGAAGCCAAACCCCAAGTATGCCAATGCGGCATTGACTGTAGATGTTGGCATGGTCGAGCCTTCGACATATGAAGAAGCCTCGAAGGGTACAGAATGGAGGAAGGCCATGGAAGAAGAAATCCTCGCACTAAAGAAGAATGAGACGTGGGACTTGGTACCGAAACCTGAAGAGGTACGTCCTATTTCCTGCAAATGGGTTTATAAACTTAAAACTCGACTAGACGGGTCGATTGAGAGGTATAAAGCACGTCTAGTGGCTCGAGGTTTTTCGCAAAAATATGGGGTTGATTATGAAGAGACCTTTAGCCCGGTAGCAAAGGTTACCACAGTTCGAGTTCTATTAGCACTTGCAGCAAGCAAGTCGTGGAATGTGTGGCAGATGGATGTGAAGAATGCTTTCTTGCATGGAGAACTTGAGCGAGAGATATACATGGAGCAGCCAGATGGTTTCAAGAGCAAAACTTATCCAGAATATGTCTGCAAGCTAAAGAAAGCGTTGTATGGCTTAAAGCAAGCCCCGAGAGCGTGGTATGGAAAGATTGCAGAATTCTTGTTGAAGAGCGATTATAATGTAGCTCCAGCAGACTCGAGTCTGTTCATGAAGGCAGAAGATGGAAAGGTTGCAGCTGTGCTGGTTTATGTGGATGATCTCATCATTACTGGAGATGATGAAGATGAGATATGTCAAATTAGAGCCAACCTCTCTGTGCGGTTCTAGATGAAGGAGCTTGGAGAGCTGAAACACTTTCTGGGGCTCGAGGTTGATAGGACAAAAGAAGAATTATTCCTATGTCAACAAAAGTATGCACGAGATCTCTTGAAAAAATTCGGGATGCTCGATTGCAAACCTATATCTACTCCGTTGGATGGGAACGCAAAGCTATGTGCTGAAGAAGGTCGAGAGCTAGAAGATTCGTCTATGTATAGGCAACTGGTAGGTAGTCTAATCTACCTTACCATAACTCGGCCTGACATCGCTTTTGCAGTGGGAGTAGTGAGTCGATTCATGGAGAAGCCAAGGAAGCCTCACTTGGATGCAGCCAAGCGTATCCTGAGGTATGTAAAGAAGACTTTTGATTTTGGGCTTTTGTATAAAAAAGAATCATCGGGTGAGTTGGTCGGTCGTTGTGATGCCGGCTATGCTGGAGATCAACACACACGGCGATCAACTACTGGATACTCGTTTCATCTTGGATCAGCAGTAGTATCCTGGTGCAGTAAAAGACAGCCGACTGTGTCTTTGTCTACAACAGAAGCTGAATACAAAGCAGTAGAAATGGCAGCTCTGGAGAGCATGTGGCTAGTGCCGTTATTGGATGATCTTCATCAGTCGATAGATTATTCGACAATATTGTATTGTGATAATCTATCCGCTATAAGCTTGGCAGAAAATCCAGTTTTCCATGCTAGGACTAAGCATATGGAAGTCCACTATCACTTTCTGAAAGAGAAAGTGTTGGAGGGCGAGATCAAGATGGAGTACACCAAGACAGGTGATCAAGTTGCTGATATCTTCACCAAAGGTCTTGGAGCTGCAAAGTTTGAAGAGTTTCGAACTCAACTCGGTATGGTTTCAAAATCTATCCTAAGAGAGAGTAGTTGGTGAGGGGGAGTATTGAAGATATCACCGCCTTATCTCTCTAGATCTTTCGTAATTAGTCTTGACCTTTCGTATTTCAATGACTAGTTAATGTGATTGTTTGTATTTGGTCTTGACCTTTCGTGTTTCGATATCTAGTTAATATCATATACATGTATAGTTATTTATGAGTCATATCAAGAGTCATGTATTATGCCTATATAAAGGCAAGTCTAGTTAAAGTATTTGTAAGGTGAATCAAGTTATAATAAAATAGTTTATTCCTCTCCTCTCCTTGAGTGTTTTTCCTTGAGAGTTACCAATTAAAGTCGTTCACCTTCGAGAGTTGTCGACGATAGTTATCGACGATCGAGGCTTTCACTTTTGAGTGTTACACCTTAAATCTCAACAGAGCAAGCTCTGGAGGAGAGAGAGAGAGAGTGCAGTAATGGCGGTGGTGCTTTGTGGAGACTGTAGAGAGAGAGAGAGAGAGAGAGAGAGAGAGAGAGAGAGAGAGAGAGAGAGTGGGTGAGATCAGATCAAAAAGGAATAAAAAGCAAAAAAAAAAATAAAGAAGAAGAAACCGAAAATCGAGCCGAATCGATTTTTTTGGTTTGGTTCAAGGACGCACCCCAACAGTAAAAAAATCTAATCGAATCGAACCGTTGACACCCCTAGTGTGGGGAACGGTGGCCGAGGGAAGGATCGGAAGACGGAGGAGATTGTTATCAGGTCTGAGTAAGATTTGATTTAAGTGTGGTGAGCACTAAAGTTAAGAAGCCACGTGTTGCAATCCTATAAATGAGACAGCAGATTGGACCAGGACTGGGGACATCAGATCTTCATCCCCGTGGAAGCAAGAATTCAAGAATTCTTAGCACGTCTGTGTTCTCCTTTCTAAGGAAAACAGCAAGCCCTAATATAACTGCTTTGATTTGAAGTCTCATGTCCCCCAACGTGCGATGCTATGAAGTTCTCCACAAGAATGAAGTTCTGCACATGCACAGAGAAAACGCACAACACTCACTTCACCCACTCTTGATCAGGCAGAAGAAATCTTGCATGCCCTTTTGTTTTTATTGGGAAGAAATCTTGCGTGCAATTGAGGAAGGAACAAGCAACGGCGTTCTAAGTGCCTACTTTATCTAGTACAAAAAGCTCTGCTGCAGCAAAGACTTTTTAAGTTTATGACTCATTTTGACAGCTCTACTCATTTTGACAGCAAAGACTTGTTGGGTACTCGAATTTAACTCGTCTGTCTAAATACTCATTTATAGTTTGACCTATATTACAAACTGTCGCGACCTAAAATTCATCTCAGGCTAATGGATTGTTAAGACTAAGCCTAACTCGGACCCTCCCAAGCCCTATCAATTCGCAACTTAGGGTTTAAGTTTTTTAACATGCAAAAGTTTTTATGCTCGGAGTCGCCACTAATCAATTTATAGTAGGTTGATTAGAAACCTAAATAAAACATAGGGAGATATGTTTTATTCCTACGAACCAGAGATTCTAAGCCCGGGGACTTGATTACGCTAGATCTGGTCTAACGCCCTTTCGGTACCTTTTCTTTTCAAAAAATGTTTTGGCAGGCAGTTTGGATCCATTTCAACTTAGTTACTAACATGTGAGGTGTTCATGCGAGTGCGCAAACTACCAATTTAACACCCAGAAAGCATTAAATAAATTGCAAGTTTGGAAGAATTACTTACCTGGAAGCAACGTAAGCATCTGCATTGTTAGCTAGAAAATCACATTGACACCCTAATATGATTTCTAATTAACAAGCAATTCACTCAATTTCTTTTTTTGGATTTTCACTTATTTAAATGAAAGCTAGCCTATATGCAATGACATGCGAAAATTAACATGTGATTAATGCAGCCTAACATGCAAACTATATGTCATACGACGACGTGACCTAATTCTAACGACAGACAAATGATTTATTTTTGGTATTTTCAAATGAAATTCGAAATAAAAAATGCCAATTATCTAAGCATGCAATTTTAGACTAAAGAAAGCAAATTAACCTATTCTAGAACCCTCTTTTTGGTATTTTTTTTTATCGAAATTCGAAATTAAAATCAACCCGAAATGAACTATCAAGGTTAGAATAATATCTAATTAAACTAGGAAACAAATTACCCTAATTCCTAATTTAAATTAGAAATTATCTTATCTTTCTAGCAAATCTTGGTTGTGCTATTCTATTCAAAAAAAATGTTATCTAGATATATTCTAAACATGCAACATTATCTTCAAAGAAATCAATTCAAATTGCATCTAATCTTTTTGGGTTTTCTTTTAAAGAAACAAAATCAAATAAGAGATAAACACCACCATCAAATCAATATCCACAATCCGCAAAATTTTTCTTATCAAATTTAAATGAGGCAAAGAAATCAAACTAACGGTCATATCTATAGGGTTATAGATATCGACAGAAAGTTGATTGGTCAAATTCGGAAAGCAAATAAAATCTATTATCGTGTCCAAGTGATTATGGACAAGATAACGATTTTTCGTATCGCCGCGTATCGTACCTTAGGGATAAGGTCGAATAGTGGTCCAGATACGTTGCTAAATTAGGCAAAATTCCTAATTTTAAGTGTTTCAAATATTGCGGATATCCCAAATATTATCCTAAGATTTAGCAATCCACCAAATAATATCCACGAAATATTCAAACACCGAAAACTTAAGAAATTAAATATTTCAAAAAATATTCGGATAATGATCTTACTTAATTTGCGGATATTTTCCAAATTCGAACTTGCGGATCGGGATTACGGATTGCGATGAGCGGCGAAACGGTGGCCGACGGATCGACGACGGGCAGCGACTCCCCGCGGGACAGCAGCGGCGGTACTGAACGAGCTTGCACGGGTCGACAATAGCAGCGACGAGTGGTCTTCGGAAGTCACGGAACAGCAGCAGCTCACCACGGGAGGGCGACGAACGTCGGGGATGGCAGCAACTTCGGAGGATGTCGGCGTTGTGGTGGGGCAGGCGTCGCACGGAACGCAACCAAAGGAACAGCCGGCGTCGGGGTTGGCCTCGTGCGAGCAAGGGTAGCGACCAGCAGCAGTGATGGTGTGAGTGCAGCGGCGACAACAGCAGCGGGATTCTCAAGCGCCGCGAAGGAAGCAGCAGCGGAACCTGGGGGCAGCAACTGTTGACCAAAATTCCACGAACATGGACTAGTGGAATTGCTAGACACCTGGACTCTTTCTTCAACTTCACGTGGGTTTGTCTATTCAATTACCAAACACGCTTGATTTGACCGTGTTTGGCGTTGATCTAGGCTCCTCCACTGCTGGTCTGGACAGCAGAGGGACGCGAGCGCCGGCAGCAGCAGCTGGTGCAGTGGCAGTGGATCGTCGACAGCAACGGGAGCAGGCTTCGACCAGCAGCAGCTCGGGTCACCTAGGGACGGCAGCGGGTAGCAAAGGTGACGCAGGGCAGAACAGCAACCGAGCTCGGCGGGCGCTGGTCGGACTCGGTGGCGGAGGCAACGTGAGAGTGGCAACAGGGGTGTCGCGGACACGATGGAAGGGCGGCGTGGCGGTGGTTCACACACACGCAACTGACTCTGTCTCTCTCTTTCTTTCACTCACGTGTTCTCTGAAATTTCTGAACTTGAAAATTATGAGCGCCCCCCTTGATTATGACGCATAACGACATATTTATATCGCAACCCTAGGTTAATTAACCGGGCTTCCTAGTCTTAATGGGCTTAGGCTTGGGCTTAGATTTTAATTTAATTTAAATGGGCTGAATTAATTAAGGATAATGGGCCGAATTAAGCTCAAATTAAAACAACCGAGCCCGTTTGACTTGTAATTCCCGGCCCTTGCATTCCAAGCGAGCCGAGTCTCGTTCGATGAAATTTTAAGCTCATTCGCCACTGCCAATCTGATGCAAAAAATGCAATTAAATTAAATGGACCTAAACTATATGTTTATGCAATTTAAATATTTTTGTTTAGGGGTTAAAAATTTAATCCCTAATTTTCTATGCAAATTACACTAAATGATACGCCAAAATTTAGGTGTCAACACAAACTAGCCTGCTACATCCTTATATAACATTCTCATTAAGAATATTTAACCCTTTTAGGGATATTTTCGCATATCTGAAGTGAATACTTCACTCTAGAGAACCTTTCTTTTCTTACTTGTACGTAGAAATAAGAGCCAAGGTTTTGCAGTTGCTGTACTTGTACATGGAAAATGAGGATAGAGTGATGCTGCACATACTATCATTCATAGTGGAAGTGATTTTACAAACTCATGTAGCAAATGCAATTAAGAATTAAGCAAGTATGCCATACGAAATCATAAACTTATAATCTGCCACGTCAAGTAATAAACAAATTATAACAATCTCATCGCTTGCATCATTCATGAAGACGGTTAATGCTAGATATACTAACAAGTGGCAAATTACAATGACTTTTTCAGTTAACAAGAATATGTTTAATAGTCAACTCCAGCCTGTCACATAAGTTCATAAACGAAATTTTATTAACAATCTGAGCATGCTGAGGGATTATTGATGAGGTTAATAGCAGGAGGAGCTCTGGCTGTTGGGGAAAATAGGCCCGAGCGACTTTGAGCCTGTAATAAGACTTTGGTTGGCCCAAGAATATACACATTCTGAGAAGTGGGGGGATTTGACTTTGGCCCAAGAAGTCAACCAAGATTTGTTAAGGTTTTGTTATTTCTTTCGTTCGAATGGATTTTTGATGACCTGAAGTAAATTTGTTTTGCGAATGAAAATTAACGCTAATGTAATCACCCCTCTTGAGATTGGATTTCTTATCCATTCTTTCTGCTCGTGAATTATATTTTCATAGACCTCTCCTAACAAGCAGCCAGAATATGGACAGAACAATGGTTCTTGATTCATGATTTTGAATCTCCACGTTCTCAATTTTTATACTTTTTGTTTGACATTTCATTTGTGTATTTGTCATTCCTTTTACAAAAGAAAGGATGAGACATCAAATTGCAATACTTATTGAATTATAATGTAAGCACATGCAATATTTTGAGCACGTACTAAAATGAATCAATGGAATAAGAGTGAACATAAAACGTAAATCCCCCTCTCTTGAAAGCATAGACTAACGTGATAGCATATAATAATGTAAATTCCCTCTCCTAATAGCTTTCCTTCCTTTTATCAAAAGTTTCACCTGCCATCTGCTTGTGTGTGAAAAAGAAGAGGAAGCTATATGATTAGAAATTGTTTGAGTGTTAAAAATATTTTCTTTTCTCTTGTTTATTTGCTCCTCTCTAGTCTCTATTTATGGATAGTTAGAGGAAAATTCTCCAAGATCATCTTCCGATACCATATATTTCAATTTCCTTCTTTACGGAATTCTCTCTTTCCTTTTCTGTAACCATTTATTATCTCTCTTTTGTTTTGGCAAGAGTTGATTTATCTTATCATCCATGACAATGTATTACAAAAAAAAATTGTTGGTTATCTTGCAAAAAGATACAATGTTCTATCGTGATTTTAAAGAAATTCAGACCAAGAAACTGGAACTGCTTGGCGTTGTGACCCGGCATATCTCTTTATGACTAGGTTGGTAATCTTTCAGAAACTCTACGAGGTCTTGCCGGCAGTAGGGAAGACCCAATCTTTATGAGGCGTGGGTTGCCTTTGTGCCTACGGGGGCCGACGGTTCACTTCATCGGTTTCTTCGATCATCGCGGAAGAGGCCCTCTTTTTTCCGACTTCTTTCTAGTCTTATTTTGATTTGACTGCTTTTTGTTTGATCCTTTTAACGGATCAGCTTGCCAGGGAGTTCTTTTGGGAGCGTAAGGTGAGGACGCTCGTTTAGGCTCCACTTGATTTATTTTCTGAATCAGAACACATTCCTTCCTTTTCTTGTGAAAATTTTGTTGCCAATAGTTAGTCGTGATAACATCTTGCATCTCTTGATACTTCAAGTTAATTATCATTTCCAACTTTGCAAATGTTAATATGGCTGTAACATGATTACTGGTAAATATATTTTTACTTATGTTACTATATCTAATATGTTATATCGATAATATGTTATATCGATATTCATATCATAATGGTATAATATTGGCGGCCCCCCATACTTTAACGTTTGTATGAGAATTAATTGATATTAAATTGAAAGGAGCATGAGCTATTATTTAGAAATTACAATAAAACTTCAAAGATATATCTTAAAGTATGATGTAGGTTACACTTTGAACTTCTTATTATTGTAGAAATGTGTTTTAGAATAGTAACATTAGTAAAACTGAAAATAATTGAAAAATAAACAAAATCACTACAACGCCAATAGAAGATTGGTTGGTATTGTCTTGATCACTTGACAAAGTTCATCGAAATTGCCTTACTTTTCATTTGAAGAGTTCGAACACATACCCATTCAATATCATTTATTCGTCAAATGAAACGTAAAAAGGACATGGAACCTTTTTGTCTAGATCGATATATTTGTAAAAATGACACTATCTGACATCATTTGTTTGTGAAAACATTTTGTTCATATATGGCTACAGATAGGACGTTTTGAGCACACAGTCATTTGTAAGACCCTTGTATCAATTATTAGTCACTTGCTCTAGTGAACTGAGTTTACATATGTAAGAACGTTATGTTACTAGCTTATGCTAGTAAGCTTTTACCTTTTGTTTCCTTCAATCAATCTGCTAGTCCTTAGATTCGCAGGGAGAATAGGGTTGCAGTTAAAGAGATGATGCATGTACGAGCACAGTGGACACCCATTTGAGACAGTCCAACAACCAGTTCACGAGCGACATCACAAGAGAGACCCGTGAAGAGAAGATGCAGCGATTCAGGGAAGACAACAAAACAAGAAAAGACACAAATTTCACCTTCGGACAAAACATCCTGAATGAGGACAACGACTGCACATCTTCTTGGTTTCTTCGCTATAGCTTAGCTCTCCGTGGATCGATAGTTGTGAACCCGTGACCTCAAATTCTTGAATTCTTATAATTAGGGAAAAGAATAAATCGTGGAGTAATTTTACACCTAATTGGATCCACCACCTTCATGTCCACAAGTTGGAAATTTGGTTGTGGGGTCAACATGCAGATTTACGTGGTTAAAAGATTTCAATAAGATTATGATACTCTTCAAGCCTCAATATTTCTTCAGGTATGTCCTCGCATGGACCCAATTCATCGGGAGCCAGGAGAATCTCGAGTATTATATTGATGGATTCCACGTAAAACTTCACTCATTGCATAACTGACATAATGTAACAAACTGAATTACAATACGCAAAATCGAACAAACTTTGTCTTTAAATTTTGATATTTGCTCGCTTCTCCATGTGTACTGATTTCTTTGATCTAGCCATTGTGACTTATGTTTGTTCCATAAATCTGGTCCATGCAGAGTGTTTTTCGTAAGGTTAATGCTAAAAAGCTTCAGCGAGAAACTTAATCCTAATAAGTGGAACTGTTATCTACTTGTTTTGTGTGAAATTGACACAATTTATAAAGCAATGGAAGCCATTAGAGGAGCATATGAAGATCTAATAGCAGTGTAAAATCGGAGAGAGAGAATAAGAAACAGAAAAGAAGAAGGCAGTGTCTTATTTTTTCTTGAAGAATATAGATTATGATGAGTAAAATATAGTTGCAAATTTCACTTCTTTGATCTCGAAACCCTTCGCATCAGAACCAGCAACCAAAGCACGCGGTAGAACATGAAGAACCCGATCAGAATGTAAATGTTTGTCCACATCTCGCCCTCGTGAAGCCCTCGCTTCTGCAACACGTCTCTCCCACTCACCATGCACGTCTTGTTCTCGTCGTACCAGATCAAGCACCTTGACAAGAGGCACGAATACTCGTTGATGAGCAGCGCGTCGAGCGCATACTTGTACATGGAGAAGAAGTACATGAACAGCCAGTACTTGGGTATGCTCTGCTTCGAAATGAAGTAGCCCGAGAAGAGGAAGAAGGCCCCAAGTAATGCCGTCACTAAAGACGTCCCCGCAATGTAGTTTGGCGCAATGGAGCTCAAGAACAAGACGAAAGAGTTCGCCATCAGGATAATAATCCAGATGACCAGGACAAAGTAGGCGAAGGCTTGCCACGAGGCGCAAAGGCCCACAAGAAAGTACATCGAGGCCGAGTATATAATAGCCACGGCAAGCAAGTAGGGCAAGAAGACGAACGTGTTCGCTATCAAGTAGGACGAGAGTCGATAGACTCCACTCGACGTTTCTCGCAAGAGGATGGGCCTTTCGTTGATGAAGACGGGTAAGGCTTCGGTCGTGGAGGAGAGGAGGAAAGTGAGAGTGAAGGCGAAGAGACCAAACCTCTTTTCGATGCCTTCCTTGTTGAACCCTATGTTGATGTAGATAGTGCCGAGGACAAGCCCAACGAGGAGGGCTTCTATGGTGTTGATCAGGAGGAGCTGTCTCGTCCTGTAGATGATCTTCCACGACCTGTTGTAGAGTGTCAAGATTTCGTCGAGCCTCGAGCTCTTGTATCTGATCTTTGAGACTTTGTGATGATGATCTGAAGCAGTATTAGTCTCGGAGCAATGAGCTGGTGATGGAGGAAGTGACGGTGGAGACTGTGAGAGCGTCTCGGGTTTGTTGTTCTCTTGGAGCCGGTTCAGTATTTCCATGGTGTACTCGAGGGCATTAAGCTGAGGCGGCACGGTGAAGCCATTGGAGAGCAAGAAGCTTTGGAGGTCGCAGAGCGTTCCATGGTGGACCACCGACCCTTTTGAGAGCAACAGAATTCTGTCAATGGTGGAGAGGATCTTGAAGCTCGGCTGGTGGATCGACAAGATCACAGTCCGGTGACGTGTGACGGCGATCTTCTTGAGGATCTGCATGACATTGAACGCCGATGTGCTATCCAGCCCGGAAGTCGGCTCATCAAGGAGGAGCACTGCCGGATCGTGGAGGAGGCTGAGCCCGATCGAGACACGCCGCCGCTCACCTCCCGATAGGGCATTCCCTAGCCGGGTATCAGCCAGGTGGCTCAGCCCTAGCTCTGTCAGGAGAGAGGCCACGACCGTTAGGAGCTGTGACTTGTCAGGGATGAGCAGGCGGGCGGCGAAGACGAATGTCTCAGAGACGGTGAGTAGAGGGAGGCATGCGTCGTGCTGGGGGACGTAGGCTGAGAGTCTGCGGAATGTCGAAGGGTTGATGGGAGAAGAGTTGAGGAGGAGAGTTCCGCGGGTGGGCGTCACTCGAGCCGCCAAAATGTCAAGGAGGGTAGACTTCCCAGCCCCGCTTGGGCCGACTATCGCAAGGATTTGGGACGGGTAGGCGACGAGGGAGATGTCGCGGAGGATGTAGGTGGGAGGGGATAGTTTTGTGCATGGTTTAAAGGCTAGGAATTGATGGAGGGTTTTTGTGATGAAAGTGTTCGACTTTTTGTACGAAATGGAAGAAGCTGTTAGCCTGTAAAGAGCAGGTTGTGGTGGTGGTGGTGTGGTGGATGGAGATGGAGGAGATGGTGGTGGTGGTGGTGGTGGTGGAGAAGTTGAAGGTGAAGGTGAATGGTCTTCCATGGAGGAGTTGGTGGAGACTGAGGGAGGGATGGGCATATGAGAATGAGAGAGATAAAAGGGGAGGATTTGTTGGCAATAATTTCCATGTGTTGTGTTTTGGGAGTATAATACTGATGGGGATATGAAAGAGATTGACAATTAAAAAGTTTGAGGGCCACGCAAAATATAACTATAAAGAAAAAATAATCTGAAATTGTGACTTTGGCCATTTGCAAATGTCCTGTTGCCTCTAAATAATTAATGGCAAGACCAATAGAACTAGAATGTCAGTGATGTATTTGATGGCCTGCTAAAAAGGGTATAATATAATGCCATCCAATAATTTTTAGTCAGGTCATGATTGAGATCTGTGACCAGGAAAAACAGATCATATCTGCACAAAATTCAGCAATTTCTCTTCTTGACATCAAGCTTCAACAGGAACGTACGAATTAGATTAATCAGTCACACAAAATATGAGGCTTGAGATTCAGCAGACGCCCAAAGATTAGTTGAGAATGGCCCAGCAGCAGAGTCTAGAAAGAAATATCTGAAGAGTAATGTGACTCCACAGACCGGATGGTATTGATAAACCAGCAAGAGGACAGAGGTGCGACCTTGAGCCAACTCAGTGAGAAAGAATCATGTGACAGCCCATTCCAAATATTAAAAGCTCTTATTCCAGGAACAAGTTGTCGATCCACCACGAGAAATTGAGTCGGAGAGACGAATGCTAGGATTTGAACTCTTGACTTGTACTCCGACACCATATAAAAAAGTCCAAATCGAAAGTTTGAGTTATCCTGTGACACGAGACTCTGTATATATAAAAGTTGCATTATTGATAGGCGACGTGGGTTTACACTACTTGTATGTTCATATCAAGTGAAATGTTGGTATTGTGCGAACTGTTGGATCAAGTGTTTTTGTATAAGATGATACAAAATTTTATATTGGAAATAAACTCTCTCGCTGATCACGAGCTCTCACAAGCCAGCAGCACTTCACAACGCCATTATCATCAGTTCGCAGCACATCCTGTTGAGGTTGATGTCTTGTATTCTGTTATCCAAAATCCTTATGAGGCGGTTCCGAAAGGCCCCCTTACGACTGAACAGCACGGGGGTCCCGCTCCCCGGTGAGCGGGCAGGGGTCCGGGGGGGTCGCGGGGGCAGCGCCCTCGGGCCGCCAGAGGCTATTTTAGGCTATGTGGGCAATTTTGTAATTTGTACCATGTAGGGTTTCGCTATATATATTTAGGGCGAAACATGTCTCTAGAGAGAGAGGGAGGAGGTGAGAAAGAGTGGCTATACACTTTTCTACGTTATTAGTAAAACGGATCTCTTCTCCCCGTGGGCGTAGGTAGGCGGAACATCTCCCCTGCTGAACCACGTAAATTTTTGTGTTGTGCGAATTTTCATTACTTTCTTGCATCGTTGATAGGATCGAATTTAGATATTCGACACATCCGTGACTTGTCCATGCTCGTATGCGGTCCACAAGCCGTGAATGTTGCATCATTCGTCGACGAGTTGAAAGGAAAGACGAAAGCTCCACATTTTCACCCAAGGAAAAACGACGAAACAGAGAGAAACCTTCCTGGCCAACGAGTTTTTTCTTGGGGAAAACAGAAGGAGACAAAAGAGGTTGAGAAGAACCGATCGAACAAAGAGAGATTGATTGTAACTCGAGAACCTAGAAAATGACCTAACATCCCTACATAATACATATTACATTGGGTTCAGTTGAGGGAGGTCCCAATGTTCATCGATCAGTATGGGTCGTATACACATGATTGCATGAAGAACCATGTTATCCTTTGAAACATTGAGCTAACGGGTGTCCATCAAATTTGACGTATCTCATGTAATGATTTAGATAGGAAATGCGAGCTGCATACAGCGAGCATATAATATTACGTTTACATATATCATGATAAAGCACACGGCTATCTATAGTAATATAATATCATAATAGAAATATACAATCAATCGGGATTGCGAGATTACGATATGAGAGATACAAAAATTCAGGTAATATAATTCTAACAATAATCATTATTATGTTATTGAAAGATTTCTTCCAACTCAATAAACCTAACATTAACTTCCCTTTGAGTCATTTTAACGAATTATTTAATGACTTTTCTTTTCCCATAAATAGCTTTTTTTTTCACAATTTAGGGATACGATCAATATGCATTTTCTAGATATGATTATCTACATTGATAAACTTGGATATAAGCCGGAAAAAGAACATTAGAAGTTTCAAATCTTTTGTATAACGTTTAGCTTAGTGCGATAACTTTTCAATCGCTCATTTAAGTTTTTTAACTTTCGAATTTAAATATATCAGTTCATGGTTTCATATGGTCCATCCCGACTGCAAGTACCTTCACCTCCTCCTGAACCATGTCAACCACCTTTTTCCACCACCATCACCTCGAGAAAAGTATCAAAAAAGTTTTAAATTTTTCAATCGGACCAATTTAGTAATAAATATTTTCATATTTGTACCAATTCAGTCCATCTGGCCAATTTAGACTGGAAATTACTGGCGTGGATATCAGCTGTCCTGCGTGGCATGGCCAGCGCTGACATTGACATTTTTTTAAATAATTTTTTAGAGATTTTTTTTATAGTTTTTTTGTTTTTCCTTTTCTTTTCTTTACTTTTTTTGGGCCTGAGGGCTGACAATGGTCACTAGCCACGAGCGAGGGCCAAGACACCTTCGCCGGCACTGGGTGAGGATGTCGTAGCCCTCAGTAGCTCTGGGCGAGGGTCGTGAAGCCCTTGCCCAGCCCTCACCGGATCTGGGTCCGAGAGAGAGAACACTTCTTCTTCTTCTAGATCTTCAGCTTCCTCTGGTGGCAAAGCAATGTGCTTGTCTCTGCAACAAGCGCCGAGCTGAGAGCTTTCATGGACACGAAAGCCAGCCTAGACCCAGAAAGCAAGTACCTTTTGTCATGGACCCTCAATGGCGATCCTTGTGATGGGTCCTTGTAAGGCGTCGATTGCAACGACAACGGTTGCGTCGCCAACATTTTGCTACAGTGGAGACGGTTCACAGGGAGGCTCTCTTCGGCCATTGTTGGGCTCACCCACTTGAAGGAAATTATGGGTAATTCGTGATCGCCCAGTGTCGGTGAGGGTCGCCGGCCTTCGCTTGTGGCCGGTGACCTTGCTAGCCCTAAGGCAAAAAAAAAAAAAAAGATTAAGAAAAAAAGAAAAGAGAAAAGAGAAAAACAAAAAAAATTATAAAAAATGTCCACGTTAACACCGGTAGTGCCACATAAGATGCTCGTTGTCCGGTTTAAAAGTGCCTCAGATAGCGTCCACGTTAACACCGATAGTGCCACATAAGATGCTCGTTGTCCGGTTTAAAAGTGCCTCAGATAGCGTCCACGTTAGCGATTTCCGACTGAAACCTAAAAAAGAACTGAAAAATAACAATATTTTCCGATATTTGCCTAGGATCTAAAAGAGAACTAGTCTTGGGTCCACCGAAACCGAATCCAAGAACTCTATGCCTATGCCTGTGCCCGGCTCCTTGGCGTCCTAGCTCGAATTTATAGAGGTTGGGCCCAGGTTGCCAACACCTAGGCCGGGGTCCATTGAGGCCATGTCCCCGACCTCGGTGTTGGGGCTTGGGTCAATCAATGCCAAGCTTAGGACTCTGGTACTGATGTAGTTGGCCAGGGTCCCAAGCACAAGCCTGGCCTCGATGGACACAGGCCCATGCGCCGGGGACCCGAGCACGAGCGCGAGGACCCGAGCATGAGCGTCGAGGTCTTGGGCACTGCCTCGATGGACCCGAGCTCAAGAGTCAAGGACCCAAGCACAAGCACCAGGGTCCAAGACCCGGCCTCAATGAACACAGGCATGGCTGAGTACCTAGGCCCGACCTTGATGTTACCAGGCTTGGCATCCAGGCACAGGCATCGACACCGGTGTCCCGAGCCCAACCTCAAAAGATCAAGGCGCGGCAGCTAGGGTCTCGAGCACGGTCTCGATGGACCTAGGTGGGGGCATTGAGGACCCGATCTCGATGCTAAGGGCCCAGGAGCGAGTGTTGAGGTTCTTGTGCCCAAGCGTAGAGTTTCTGGTCCAAGTACCGATATTTAGTCATATTTTGAAAACTAATTTTCGATTTTTTAAAGAGGAAATCATTTTTCTGAATTTAAACTTTGGTAGGGTAACATTTTCCGTTGACTAGGTGTTTACACCTAAATTTTGGTGACCCAGTTAGTTATTTTACGCATTAAAAAATTAGGGATCGATCCTGGTCTCTAGAAAAAATATTAATTAAAATGCATATAGATATTAGAAGCATTTCCATAGGCTCATATAGTTCCATTTGCATTGGACCGGTGGCGGATGGACTTGAGTGAATGGCTCTGAATTTAATGAAATTGGACTAAGCCAGCGTTCAAGAAAATTCTTGGCCAAGCCCATGAACATTATAAGAGCTGAAATTTTCATTGGAAAATGTCGAGTTGGAAAATATTGATTTATTAATCTGAATATTATCATGATTTAAATTGAACAAATTGATTTGATATTATCACAGATTACAATAGATGGTGCAATATCTTCTTTGAATCGAAATAGGAAATAATTGCAAGCAAAAAACCCTACACTTTACCCATAAATACATTCATTAAGGGCTCATAAAAGGGGGAGGCCACACAAATTCAGAATTCACGGCCAAAAGAGAGAAAAAAAAAGAGAGAAAAGCGTGTGTGAGAGAGAGAGAGAGATTTACAGCTGAAAAAGAAGAAAAATTCTCTCTCCCGCGGTGGTTCCTCCTAAGCTTTGCAACCACCCATCATTGCCGCCAACACTTCCAGCGTTCGATAGATTTAGCCATTGAAGACCCACTGCCAAAGCAACGAAATCTAGTCAAGACTAGCCATGGTCAAGCGGTAAGTTTGATCCTTGGTGGTCTCTGTGCAAAAGAAAGAAGAGAGCACTCAAATAGATTGAGTGAAAGGTGCCAGCAAAGAAAAATAAAAACAAAAGAGTGGAGACGCCCAGAGATCAGAAACCCACACTTGGAGGTCACGGTTTTTGGTTTCTTTTTGGGCTTCCCGTGAGCACGAGTTTACATCCGCCTCTTGTCCGACACTCCTGACG